GTCCCATGTGCATGCTCAATAATGAGTAAATGAACATAGTAGAAAAACCAAACATCATATACAAGACACTTCCAAACCACCATTATTAATGGAGAGACAATTTAGAAAAGAGTTCTGTGTTGTAAAACACTGATGAGAATTGGTTCCTGCTGCTTCACACAGATAATAGATATCCACACAAAGTTATTGAATGGCTAGTTGTCCAGACATGTCTTTAATAGTGATCAAGGTGAGTACAGGGCCCAGAGGCCAAAAATCACCCATTTTTTATTTTCATGTTTTTGATACAAATACAAAATCTTTATTGTGCTCATTTGCCATGAAAAGAGGCAATACATGTGGAAGTGTATTATAAATGTTAGTGATCATCACCGTCATGGAGTAAATGACCAAATTAAGGCTATGGGGTCAGGAAACTCCATCTGACAAAGCTATACTTGTGTAGGAAGTGAAGCCAAGAGAAAAGACATGTTTTATGAAAAAGACTTCATAGTTTTTAAAAATATGTATGAATGCCTGGAAATATCTATCATGACTTCATTACATCGTGGAATAATTGACTTTCTAGGAAAAATGATTCCTGTGGTTTCGTAGGATTGCATTTCAGTTTGATCAGAGACTCTTTCTACCATTCTTTGTTTCAGGGCTGTCTTCTAAAATATCATAAATGGGTTTTGTTTGTTGGTTTTCCAAAGTCTGAGGATGACTTTTGTGGGACAGTTGTAGTATGAGAGACTGGAAACTTGGTAGAGAATTCATTCCCAAGGATACAATACTTTCAGCTATTCTGTCAGGTCCCTCCACAAGGCTATGTGAGTTTAACCCCTCCTGGTTCTTCAAATAGAGTAACACTTCTGCCCTGTGATTCTGTTTCCTAAGAGCTCTTGATTAGGGTAGTGGGTGGGGCAGGGGAAAGGAAAGAAGTGAAAGGAAAAATGATTGAGAAATGGAAAAAATTGAAATAAAGTCTTTGTAAATAGCGAAGGGTGGAGGGCCTGAAGGGAGGGCTAGGAATGGGGAAAAAATAAGAATCAAGATGCATTATGTAAAGGTACAATTCCCAATGAGAAATGTAATTGTGTTGTATACCTATAATGTACCAATAAAAGAATTTAATAAAAAAAAATAAGAAAAAGAGGATTAGTTATGAATCTCTTTCCTTTTCACTCCCACTAGTTAGTAGTCAAGCTGAAATTCTGAGAGCAAACAGGAACTGGCAAAGCAAATACTTTGGGGCCAGCACTGCAGCCCAGGCCTCACTGGGAGGCAGAATTATGTAGGCTTGTTTGTTCAACTATCAAATGGGGGTGGGATGGGGAGGAGACCAGGCAAGGCCTGCCCCGCTGGGGATGGGATTGGTTCCTTCTCTCCCCTCCGTTCTTTAGGCATCTGGGTTGGACAGGTTGAGAGAAACATGTCATTAAGGTGTTGTCAAAGTGAGCCCTGTAGGTGTGGGCCGCTCCCGACGTTTGTGGTTTTAGATTTTCAAAGGGGAGGACTTACTGGCTACGGGATCAAGTTCGTGAAACTAGTCTTCAGCGTCTTGAAAAATGCCACCGTAACAGGAGGCGCCTAGGAGCTTAAGTGTAACATACACAAAGTACAGAAAATGACGAAAGCTCCTCAGGGGTTTGATTTCAGTTTCTTAAATGAGGAAGAAGCCAGGAAGATCCTTCAGGTGCTGGAAAGAAATGAGAAACTACAAAGGGCAGAGAAGGACAGGATCAGGTACACAGCAAATTCCTTTCTCTTTACTGGGCCTGGAGTCCGGGCTGCCCCAGAGCGCGGAGCCTGGGGGCTGGTGGAGGGCGGAGCTCTGGCGCGGCACCTGCATCTGCACCTGCGCTGGGGCCCCGGGGCTGAAGCTTGGGGCGACGCTGCGGGTCTGGAAGAGGAAATCTGCTTCGAGTTTCCTTTAAAGGACTCTAGGATGCCCGGTGGGTGCTCTCTCAGACTCGGCGTACCCGCTGGACTCGGCGTCCAGTCTGGGGTCCCTCAGGGTGGTGGCGCGCTCCCCGGGGCGTTTCTCTGCCGGCGCGGCTGTGCGGGACACGTGGGCGGCGCTCGGGGGTCGCCTGGGCCGTCGGAGGTTGTGGGCCGCGGTCGTGGGCCGCGTGAGGCCAGTGAAATAGGCCAGGGGCTCCACCGAGTGCGGAGTCCTGGCGGCTGCTCTGTGCGCGGCCGGCGCGCGCCCACCGGCGGGGCGGGAGCTCGAGGAACTCGCTGGAGCGCTGTGTGGGTGAATGGGACGCGGACGGGCGGGTCTGCAGCGGTGGGTGGGACTCCCTGTGTGTGGAGCTGGAAGGAGGAAGTTTCTAACAAATTTCAACACGGACTTCACGGTGTTGTGGGTGAGGATTCCTTGCCGGCGAATTTAATCCAGAGGTGACTACCTGAGGAGTAAATTAACCAGTTCTTCTGCTGAGAAGTGTGGCATAATTGTTCGGATGAATTAAAGGGACTCCCGTGCCAGTCTTGAAATAGACTTATACAAGGCCTTCTGTAGGTGACCGGAGGGGAATTTAGGACATCACTCACTCTTACGCCACAATTTGTGGCATTGACTGGACCTTAACCGTTCTCTTTGTAATGAACTGCTTGGTGGTGTGAATTCCTGCTTCCCTCATTCTTCCCTGGTATTCACATCTACTCCCGCTCTCAATTTCCTCCCCAAACCCTTCAAGGACACTCTTCTGATTGGGAAATCCTAGTTAGTCTTTGTAGAAGCAATTATAATGCACTGGGCCCAACGCCCTGTCTACACTCCTCTCCCCCAGACGTGACTTTTGGTGGTGGAATGAAATGGGAAGTGTGAGTATGTGAATTTTATACTGTCATACTAGTCTGCCTTTAAAAACAGGCCATCATCCTTTTTCACACAGTGTAAAAGGTGTGTCCTCCTGAGAACAGTGCACGCATGCCTACGCACACCCACTTGCAGGTACCTGCATGTTTACGGGGGTACCCCCAACTCTGGGAAGAACTGTAGAACTGCATGGAGTTTGGCTTCAACGCACAAGTATTGCCAAGGCACTAATAGATTGTTTTCAGTGTGTGTGATTGGAGGACTTTCTCCTCCCTGAAGAGGATGGGCTCAAGCGACCCATTGTTTATTGGAAAATTGAGGGGAAAATTAGGAAATAACAAAAGGGAAAGAAGCTTCTGTTTAGGATGTTATCAATTTGACTTCTCATAGACTTCAAAATATTTTAATTTTCATTCAGAGAAATTTTGTCCTTTTATATTTGACCTGATGCTTGCCTTATTGTGTGTTGTTTACAGCACCTCATGTCGCCCACTTCAGTTGACTTTGGCGGGAACTAGGTCTGTACATTGATAGCAAAGGCCATTGGGCTAGATGTTTTGTTTTGTTTTGTTTTTTGAGACAGGGTCTCATTATGCAATTCAGGTTGGCCTTGAACTCACTATGTACCCCAGGGGTTTGAACTTACGACAATCCTCCTGCCTTAGCCTCCCAAGTACTGGAATTACAGGCATGCACCACCAGTCCTGGCATGGCCTAGATTTTAGAAGGAACATTGTAATGCATTTCCTGATTTCACGTTGCTCACATCCTAAATGAAGTATCAACCAGAAAAGCCACAATACTAAAACAAAATACTGTAACAATTAAAATATTAATTACTCAAATAACTTGAAAAATGTCACAATTAAAATATAAAAATATGGAAAGTAGATGGTCAGACCAAATGCCCAAAGCAGTAATTTCTAGTACTTTCTTTTCCCCTGGTCCCCTCTATTAATTGCTCATGCCTGGATGGCAGCCTGCATAGGGCTTTCCTACTCATTTGCTTCAGGCTCACATGCATCTGCCTTAGTTGCAGATACTGGCATACAGAAAGGGCCTGAAATAACATGTCGACTTGGCTGCTGCTTTTGTTTGTTCTCTTGAAATGTATGATCATCATAGTTTCCAAATAAAAAATCTAGACACAATAACTTCCAATTCAAGAAGCCTATCTGAGACACTCTGGGGGCCTTTTTACTACACAGTATTGACAGAGAACCTCAAAATCGCTTGACTAGAACCATAAGCTACCAAATGTGGGATTTTGACAAGTTAGCTGATTGATGTACCTCTAATAAAGTCAGTTATAGTAATAGTACACTTGAAGTGTCAAGAAGACAAGAAGAAATATCCTATAGTTAGACATGTAGGAGTACAGTAACACACAGACCCAGAGATGTTCAGAGATGGGTGTTAAAGCTATGAGAATAGAGTTTCCCATGCAGAAGACAGCAACCTTATCCACAGATTTGCTCCCAAACACACAAAACTAGGATTTGCATTAAATATAATAGTTAATGTTGCTAATATATTCAGTTTACTCAAATTTTATGAAAATCAGCAAGCTTCAAGTTTATAAGCAAAAGATAGAAATAAATCTTCACACTAGAAGATAGCCAAACAGTAAACAAAACAGATGGGAAATCTGGGATTAATAAATGTTGATGTGGTCATCTTTTGACTCTCCTTGGCTTTTCATCTGCCCTCTCCTCTGCTGGCCTGTGAAATTTGCCCCTGAGAGGTAAGAATTTCCGGAAATACTGAATGCCTAATTATTGGGCATCTACTATGTGCCAGAAATTGTTGGCTTTGAGAATATAGCACACTATGAAACCAGATTCTGCCCTAAATGGTGTCAGTCAGTGAAAGCTTCTGTTGATGGCAGAGCCTGTAAGATGAAGTGTTCATGTAAATGTAACTCACTTGTGAGCAGCCCTGTGTGTCCTGGAAAAAGAACCACAAGAACAGTGCCTAGAAGTCACAGGTGTGCCTAACAGGTTTGAGTGTTCTGACATGTGACAAGGTATCAGATTAATACCATGGATTTCTGAAGTGAGTGTGCTTTCCAACAATAAGGAATTTGTTAATTCCTTTAAGGGTGGAACTTTCTTGCAGATATATTCTTCTGTCATGTTACTCCTGTGAATTGGTCTCCATGGACAATATACTTAGGACTACTGTGATAATGTAGTTCATATCCCAAGGCCAGGCAGTAGTGTCCTTTTTAGGCTTTGTGATATTATAACTCCTTTAGCTTTTAAAGTCTGTTTGTTATCTGTTTGTCTTTATTCTCATCCTAAACCTGATATTGCATTGATCTTAATTTTATTTTTCAAAAGCTAACAATAGCCAGGCACAGTGGCACACATGTGTCCTATACTCCCAGCTTCTCTGGAGGCTGAGTTAGGAAGATTGCAAGTTTTAGTCTAGCCTGGGGAACTTGACAAGACTGACTCAAAAAAATTTTGTAAAGGGTTATAGATGTAGCTCAGTGGTAGAGCACCGCTGGATTCAATCCTCAGTACAGGATGCAGAAAAGGTGGGAACAGTAACTCTTATAAAGGCTAATATTTATTGAGTATTTTCTTTCTGCTAATGTGCATTTATCTCATTTAATTCTCAAAACGTCCTGATGAGTTAGGGGATTTTTAAAAATTTTCCATCCCTCAGAAGAAGCTTAGAGAGGATGAGTAACTTTCTTGAGCAAGCTAGAAAGTATCAGATTTGGAACTACATCGTGTGCAATCACTGTGTAGCACTGCCTCCCACAGTACAAGAAAAGTTGTGACTTTCCCCACATCACTCATCTGACTTGTTACAAAATCATGAGTGGGATCTTTTCACATTAAAGCTCTTAGTAGTTTCACTGACCGTAAAAATAGAGAACACACTATTGGAGGTAGTCATTCGCCCAGCCAAAAGGTAGGAGCGCTCTTACAAAGGAAAATTGAATATAAATATTGAGGAACAATTTTTAGTATCTACTTATATGGGAAAAATTGCTGGCCACCATTTGTGTTAAAATACATGTGTAGCCAGGGATTTAGCTCAGTGGCACCGCGCCTGCCTCCCAAGCACAAGGTCCACAGTTCGATCCCCAGTACAAAAAAAAAAAAAAAATGTTAAGATTTTCTTCAGGGCCTGGGATTTAGCTCAGTGGTTTCGCCACCTGCTGTGCAAGCGCAAAGACCCAAGTTCCATCCCTGGTACCAAAAAAAATAAAATAAAAATAAAAATAAAATAAAATACATATGTATGCATTTTGTAAGGATACATTCCAAATTGTTAAGCTTTCTGTCTCTTGGGAATGATATTTAATAGACTTAAATTCTTTTACTACTATTTTATTTCTTGCATTTATCATGTTATAAAAAAGTACTTATGACTTTATTTTGATAATAAAATGCAGAATATTTGATTATTTTTTACTTTTATAAATATGTTTTTAAAAATAATTTCTTTATTTAAAATGCCTAAATGTTTTTCTGCCCCTGTCTCTCTCTTTACAATGTTAGCATATACATGTGTGAGTTGGTGCGTTGTAAATTGTACATCAATCTTGAATATTGTAGTCAAGGATTGGAGAGCCTCACACACTTAGTATGTACTCATTACCTAGTGAGATGGAACTTAACTTATTGCCCTGTGGGAAACACAAAGCAAGAAAAAGAAGGATCTAGGGAAACCATGTAAAGGACAAAAGAAGGTCACGTTGACTTAGTCAGAAAATATTTCCTTCCTCTTTAGCAAGGTCTTAACGTAGAACCACATGAAGGTCAAAGGAAGGTCAGGTTAAGGCCAGTAGGAAAATGTTTTTCTTCCCTGTTAGGACACATGCAGTGGCTGAGAGCCTTGCTGAAGCATTCTTTTGTACACACAGGCAGATTCTCTCCTTCACCTTCACTCAGGTTTGTTCTTC